GAATTAGATGCATCATTTAAAATTATTGTTAACATTTAATATTAATATAAAAATTTCGCAATTTAAATGGCGATATGAAATGTTGCATATTTCAGATTAAATCGAATTTTAGATAATAGATTTAACACTTGTAAAAATTTTAATAAAAAAATATATTTTTTAATATTAAAAAATATTTTAAATTAACGAAATTTTTCTTTATTTTCTTTTGTAAAAAGAGAATTTTTATTATTTTAACGAATTTTTATATATTCTATCATTTTATATAAAATTATATGTATAAAATAGTTTGTTATTTATTAATTAATATATATTAAAAAATTATAAATATGGAAACATTACTTTATTGATTTGATTGATCGATTTATTGAATTAAATTATATTGAACTAAAATCAACTTCAATTATACTTTAATATTAAGATAAAGTTTTTTTTATCTTAAATTTTTTCTCTATCATATAATATTTCTGATCATGTAATTAAAAAAATATTAAAAGTAATTATTATAATTATAACGAATTTTATATTTTGTATTTTCTAGAATAGTAAGATTGTTTTATAAAATTGTTTTTATCTGCTCACCATTTGAATAAGTATTTGAACGTAGCGGCGTTAATATGTCGATATCTGTTCGTTTAGTTATCTATTCACTCAACTGAAAGCATTTTAGATGTTTCGTGTAATTATAAAAGTAGACGCACTACTAACCATCTTTTTCAATAGATTGTATATATGTATATCTATATACATACATATAGATAGCGTGCAATGTTGAATCGGTTCTCTATTCGTAATATTATTAGTTGCGATAACATTTACAATGAAATGTCTTAATCAGAATTGAAGACTTTTGATATCTCTTTAAAAAAAAACTTCTTGAAAAAATTTTTAACACATAAGTAGTTGAAGATTCGTAAAAATCTTCAATCTTCGTAATGTTAATAATTTTTTAAATAAGTAATATTGATACAATTTAGAATATTTTATATGAATATCCAGTTTAATATAATTTTATATTTTATTATTATTTATTTGTTATTGGATTTAAATATATATATATAAACTATTATCGATAAATATTTGTCGATAAAGATTATTATCGTCCAAATCAGTCACCAGAGGATCTATTCCTACTCTTACTCAATATCTCTGTGGATAAAAATATAACAATTCTTGATATATACTTGCTTATATATATGTTTATATTAACAACACATCTAAATCACATGCAAACATATCTAATATTAAAATATTTTATATATGAATATCTTTTTATATATTTATATAAAAAGATTTTTTATATATATAAAATATCTTTTTATATATATATTTATGTATGTACCACTTGTAAGTGTGAATTATAATTATAATTTGAATATAAGATATTAATATAAAATATATTAAGTATATTTGGAAGATCAATTCTAAAAGTTAAAACAAATACAAAAGTTTGGAATATATATATTGATTAAGATTTATTTATTAAATCATAAGCAATTGAAATTTATGTTAGATGTATCGAAATGGAAAGAGAATGAGACTGTTTTGTCTCCGTTATATGTCTCCATTATTTTATTCATTTAAATTGAATTTAAAATGTTTATGATTTAATAAATAAATCTCATACAATATTTTGATATAATAATTTTTGTACTTATTGTGGTCTCTTAAAATATCTCATGAATATATTAATACTTTAATATTACGTAACATAATAATCATGATTTACGCGTATAGATATTAAATTTATCTACATATAATTATAAAATTGAAATTTTTTGAAAAAATATAATAGAAAGAATATAGTATTGTGCATAGAGGAGCTTACTTTCAACTAAAAGCATGAAATGATTGTTAAATATAAAAACAAAGGAACAAAACAAAGAAAGAGAAATTAGAACAAATAATATTATGAGTATAGTGAAAGTATGTCTGTTCTGTTTCTTTAATAAAACAAAGAGAGAAGAAATAACTTTTCAGTTTACTCAAGGTAAACTACATAGCTTCTCGAGGTCATCATGATTGATAAATTGTAACCTTTCTTTTCTCAATTCGTTTAAAACAATCTTTCTTCAAATATGACATTGAAAAAATAAAATTGAGGATAACATATATATATATATATATATATATATATATATATATATAGTATATTTCTAAATTTATGTAATTCATCTTAAAAAGAAAAATAAAAAAAAAAACTTTCTGAAGTGATTATATATAATATCAAATAATTAATTGATGTATATATATTTGCATAAAAGCCGATTATTTTTTTATTCACATATGTATATCTTTCATTTCTTAATTTCTATTATATATTTCTATTATATATTATAACCATTTACTTTAATATATAATTATTATTGTCAAATAACATATCATCAATATGTAATAATTATTTTTAAACATTGGAAATATTCTTCTTATCTTATTTAAGTCACATTAACACGATATGAATTAAATCGCCTAAATACGTATTCAGATAAAATTAACAAAAATAACAATATAATCGATAAATATGAATTCGCGAATTACATTGCATTAAATAAGAAATTTTAAATAATAAATATAAAATCAGTTGTAATTACAAATTTTTGAGATGATATGATGCACATTAAGTAAATTTTTCAAATCTTTGAAAAGATATAATATACGTTTCGATGATTAAAGGATCACTGACTGGCTAGTCAGTTAGTGTCTACCAGCTGTCCGCGCATTCGCGAAACCAGTTTTAGCTGGCATAATAATCCGAAAAATCGACAGAAACGATAAAAAGTTCCTTTCTTTTATCTCACAGTTTGTAGATGTACACACAATGATTCTTTCTCATAGAACATTTTTATTTCGAAATCAAATAATTCGTTAGTTCTTCAATCATAATAAAAATTTGTATACAAAATAAAAATAGAAGATTTCTTAAATTTTTTTTCAATTATTTGTATAGATTGTTAAAAAATTTATTAATTAACAATTAATTAAAGTATAACATTCATTGTTTAATTAAATTATATTATAATATGCATGGTTTTTTTTTCTTTAAATCATTTGGAAAATATAAAATACTGGTATATTCAAATATAAATAATATTAATTGTCATTAATTGTCGTAAATATGAAGAACATATATATATATATGAAAAACTGATATTTATATTATAATTTGAGACATTGTAGTAGTAATTGTTTATCTGATGCTATTTTTTATTATATATATTTTATTATACATAGTCAATACATAATTATATATAATTATATTTTTATTATATAGTCAATATTTTTTATTATATAATCGAATAACAAATTTGAAATCTATCACTATTATTATGATCACTTTTAATTATTCTTAATTAGTAATTGAAATTTGAAGAATTTTATAAATTTTTTAAAATTACCATATAATTTTATATATAAATCACTAAACATTTGTCCTTATTAATTTTAAATAAAATTTTATTTAAAATAAATTTATAATATGATCTTCATAACTTAGTTTTTTTTATTCTAATATATGATTAATAAAAATCAATTTTATTTTGTAATTATATATTTTGTAATTTATTTTTATTTTAAACATAATATATATACGATAACTTATAGACACAAGTTTTTGTATTATGAAAATATATACTATAATGCATGGAATATACTGATAATAATTTAATTTATATTAATTAAATAATTAATTATTTTTAATTAATTATCATTTTATTACTAATTATATGGAAGATTACTACTTACAAGAAACATTATTCAATTTATGATAAAATTAGATGTTTTTTAATTAAAAATGATATTAAAAAATATGATTTGGCTGAGAAATTAAAGGAGAAAAGAAAAAAAAAAATGAGGGAAATGTGTATTCAAAATTAATTTCATATTTTTATTGTAGTGCTAGACAAAATGATAGCCAAATAATTTGATATTTTTAAATCATATTAATAATTAAATTTATAAGAAAATATATACTTTACATATCTACACATAATTACTCATAAAAATATTCGGATATTAACGTATACTTAATTTTAAAGATTTATATCTTTGTTAATTATGGAATTCTTAAATTTTTGATTCTTGTGATTCTTATTGAATGAATTTTTTTGATAGAGTATTTATTGGACTTTACAAAATTTATTTTATTATTTTATTCTATTATATTTTATTTATTAATTTGATATAATAAAATAATATTAAAAACTAAATGAAATCACAATAATTTTTTGTCACAAAAATAAAAAATTCTGATATTTTAAAAATATATAATAAAATAACTAAAAAATAGCAA